TATTTGCCTTGTAAACTAATTTATCATGTCTTTCCACTAGTTTTATTATACTTAATTTCAGTGGAATGTATATAGCTTTTAAAATAAAATGTAAACTTAACACATGCTCAAGACAGAGAAAGGAGAAAATATAAAGTTTTTTTTTTCTAGGTACATGTGTAGATACATACCATAAAACTCATGTTTTATTGTGCCTCTTGTTTTATGAGCTGCTTTTTCTCCTTAAAGAGATTCTTTAAATACCCAGCTTTACAATGGTAAGATTTCCAGAAATTAAAAAAAATATATCTATAATGTGCAGGAAGGTATGTGGGGGGAGGGGTTGCCTGTGAAGTTGTGGACCCGCATTCAAAATGGTGCTCTGAGAGCTGCTAGGCTAATGCAAAGCCTCAGCTGACATAGGCGTGTCCTCAGCCAGCTCACTGCTTAGCCATGAAGGAGAGGTCATTGACACCAATGACATCAGCTTGGATGGTCTCACATTTTAGGTCTGTTTTTCTCCACCTATATTCAGATCTCTCTTGAAATGTTCCCTTTAAACATACTAATGCTAACTCAGAAAGATTCCAATTACCATCTCTCCACAGGCTTGAATAAATGTTAAACCTCAAGATCTAAACTTCATCTCTTATGTACGTGAGCAGGTTTGCCAGATGGCAGGCCAATTAATATATTTTTGCAAGGTGTATAAATGTTTTTTTTCTCCATAGGGGAACAATGAATCCATCTGCTCCACGTCTTCCTTTCCCCTGTGCCCTTTGGGGAAAATCACCATTTAATTTTCAGAAATAATTGTGCAACTCTCTAAGTGATACTTTTTGCTTTTCTAAGGGAGGTAGTTTTAATAATTGAAACTTTTTTTGACTATAAGAATTTAAAGAACCCCATGTCACAGATTAAAATATATCAACATCCGAGTTTCATCCAGGGCATTATTATTTTTCAAATGTTGGGCATATGGAATCTTAGGTTAAAAAACTGACTCCTAAAAGGTTAAATTGGAAGAGCATCTCAGAAACATATAGTTAAGCCCCCTTATTGTAAGATGAGGAAGTTAATATTTACATCCCAAAGTTCCAAGATGGTAAACAACTTGGAACCTGATGGACTTGGAACCTGGTCTTCAGGTTCCAAATTAGGATAACCGTGGTGAAAATAGAATCTTTGACCTCTCGAGGGGAGTAAAAGGAATGGGAACCTTGAATAAGGTTCAACTAGGAGAAGTAGCACACATATTTATTGCCTTCTCTCCCTTGATTCAGGCACTGACCTGTACAAATTTCCCCCATAGTTTCTTTTCATACTCAAGTGGCAGCTCAGATCAGCAGGTCATTAACTGTGTCTATGTGTTGCCTCCAACTCGGCTGAAGTTCCTGAAGAACAAGTGCCACATCCTTTTTTAAACACTTACATGGCCTGCTCTCTGGGCATGAGGGAATGAATTATGGTATATGTGAATGTCAATGGGGTTGTTTTACAAAATCCTCTCAGGGAGTATTGGAATTCTAGGAGAATGTTCACATAGCTTTGCTGTAATCTGATGCATTACAAACCAGTATTTGGTATTTTATCTGTTATGGTATGAAGGAGTTTAGTACTGATTATTCCAGAAGCTTCTTTTGGGAGGAGTGTTTCACCTGTAATCTTGTCTACCAGCATTTTTTCCATCTCCTATATTTTGCTGTAGGTGGGCATAGTTTGATTAATGCTAAATGAAAGGAAGAATTTAGACCTGCCAATTTTTTTTTTCCATTCCAGTTACTTCTCTTCTTTATCTGTATTCAACCATCTGTATTTAATTCATATAGTAGATAGAGTTCAGATTCTGGATTCAGGCAGAACTTTGGTTGGAATCTTGACTCTGAAACAAACTAGACACACGGTCTTGGCAGCCCAACTTACTTCTGATACTTGGCTTCCCACCTTTAAGTAGGAAAGACATCGGCAAACCATTTTTGTGCCTTAAATAAAATGAATTATGAAGCACTTAGGTCAGAGATAGGTAAACTACAGCCAGCCTATAGGCCAACTCTGGCCAACCACCTGTTTTTGTACATAAAGCTTCATTAGAACACAGCCACACCAGTTCATTTAGGAATTACCGATGACTGCTTGTGCTCCAATAGCAGAACCCGATAGTTGTAACATGAGACTGCTCTGCAAAACCGAAAGTGTTTACTATATGGCCCAGAACTTAGGACAACACCTAGCAAATATAACTGTTCAATAAATGTTAATTTTACTTTTTTCCATTGATGATTTCAGGTTCAATCTTACTCTTGAAGCACTCTTTAAAGAACAATTGGTCAGGTGTGTCCTGCTCTAGTAACCCTTCCAAAGCCCCTGCCCACTTTGGAGGATGGCCAAGGCCTGGAGCCATGACACAAGGCAGAACACACTGAGAGAGGCATCTCCATGGCTTCCACACCCTGATATGTAGCATGTCTTGACTTGAATTGGGTGCTGTGCATGCTACTGGAATAGGACTTTCTCTAATCCAAATGTAAATACAGGACAGTATTCAGTTTGTAACATGTCCTATTTTAGTTTAGATTATTTCTATGTAGCACTAGGTGTGTCTAATCTATACTTCTTCAAAAGCTTTCCAATACAATCCCCCAATTTTTCATTTCTAAATACACTAAGAAATTATTAAACATCATGAATATTATATTTAGCAAAGGACCTTCTGAAATCTTAAAGCAAGAGTTTTCTGAAGTGTCTCTCGGCCATTTGAAAGAGAAAGTTCTCAAAGGAGTGATGATTTTTTTGTTTTGTGTTTTAAGCAGAGTAAACAGTTTTGATTAGGGACACCCTGGTGTCCAGTAGAAAACTAAGACCAGGAATAGACTGTTGGAATGTGCTCACTGAGGATTTTGTGATCAATGGCTACACACGTAACAGAGAAAAAGATGGGGAACTTCTGAGAGGTGTTAAGGGCAATTATGTTGGCTTGTTATTTTTTATTTTGAAAACTGTATTGAGAAATGTGTTTTCAGAATAATGAAAGGATTTAAAAAATATTTTTACATTACCTTATGTCTTTAAAAAGTATACTGTGAAGAAATTATAAAGCATTAGCTAAAATTTTGTAAAGTCTTGACTCTTTCTCTTCACCCTTCTCTTCCAGCACATTTTAGTGTTTCTGAACAGGCCTGTTAGCATTTATCCCAACATGTTGTAATTCTCTGTATATAGTTGCCTGAATTCCCAGCTGATGTGAATGTGTTGAAGAAGAGACTGTATGCCAGCATAGTGCCTGGCACATAATAGATACTTAATAAGATTTATTGAATGAAGGCACTCCACAGTGAGCATATTCATGCATCTAGCTTTTTTTTGTCTTTTGGAACTATTTCCTTCGGATAAATTCCCAGAGTAGAGATTTCTAGGACAAAGTGACATGAACATGTTTATGAATCTTGATGCATAATGCCAAGTAGCTTTTATGTCTACTTGAGGTCTCTTCCAAGTCTGTGACTCTCATATTGTATGGTACATTATTACTAGATTGGCAGTCTGGTGTTCCATATTTTCTCTAGCAAAAGAATGACAGGAGGGTGCATCATCGCCAGATTCAAGCCTGGAATGAATAGTGCATATGCTTTAGGATGAAAAGCTTCTAAAAGAGTACAAATCCCTTCTGTGAAACTTGGGATGTTGAAGGACGTAGGCAGCAGGAGCGTAGTATAAGATAAAAGATAATTTTATAGGGGCAAATAACTCCTGAAGTTTTATTACTGTTCTGAACTTTTACTGTACTGTTATTAATATTTCAAGAAAGCAATTGGATATTTTTTACTTGCTTTTTCCCCCTCAACACATTTAATGTTCAAATATGAAACATTACTAGACGCAAATTGCTGTACATGCACATTCCAAGGTCTGCTTTTATCAAGGTTTGAAACTGTTTGTCTAATGTATTATGCATTTCCATCTTCAATTGATCTGATTTGTGTGTGTGAAATAAGATTGAGTCTCCGTGCTATGACCTTGGGCAACGTTAGCTTTTTCTGAGTTTGATATTTTCCCCTCCCTCACCCAGTATTTGGCAAGCTCATAAATTACCAATGAAAAATAGCCATATTTACCTTGGGTGCAAGTATGCGATTGATGAACACACAGTCACCTAAATGCCACCTTATAGATGACATATAAAGTTTGTGGGGGCTAAGCTGAATGGAGCAAGGGCGTTGTTCAATTACAAATACGCTTTGTGGAGACTGAGTAGCCTAGTGTTTCATATTTTGAATAAGGCTCAACAGGTATTCTAAAGAATTTATCAGTGTTCTGTTATATATTGTATAATTATTCTCTTCTAGCTTAGCTTCAATCCACACTCAAAGCCATGACTTCAGTCTTTGGAAAGATAGTCAGATAAGGGAGTTAGAAAAACTTCCTACATGGTAGATTTGGCTTTCAGGGAATACCCCTCATCTTTCCCAGCAAACTAGAGTTCAGGGACCTTGAACTAGTTAGAGATTTTTTAGGAGAATCTTTGAGAAGCCTACAATTACATGGTAGCACTTGACTATGCTTTGGTCATTCCAAGCCGCAGCTGTAAAGGATTCTGAGCAATGAAGCCAGTGTTTCCAGATTCCCATCACTTAAAGGCCTTATAGATGGGTGGCAGTGGGGAATCAAATTGGGAAAGTCTTTTCATTGTTTTATTATTTAGACACAGCCAGAACCCATCTCCTTTATATGGATTGGAGTGAAGGTGATGGAGTACTAATAATAGATTCTCCTAACCCAAATAGTTTTAACTCATGCAAGGTAAGAGTAGTTTTATTCTGAGTTATTTATAAACTTATGCGGGCGGGGCAGGATAGTGGTATAGTTATTACTAGTGATAGTTTGAGTATTTGAAAGACTGTTTAGCAAATGTAGCATAAACATACCTTCTTAACTTACTTATATTATGCATTCATTCCTTTTTTTTTATTTTTTTTTATTTTCTTTTTTTTATTCTTTTCTTTTTTTTGCATTCTGCACGACACAGAGGCAAAAAGAAAATGACTGGATCTTAAATATAAAAAAATTCTTTACAATTAAATCCACAATTTTATACATTTATCTTACTCAATGTCAGTGAAATATCACCAACTATTATGAAACAGGACAAGTGATATCAAAAAGAACCAAAATCCCATAAAAAATATATCCGAGTCTGAAAAGTATTGTACTCTTGGTGTCGTCACATCCTTCTCTTCTGTGTGCTTATGTACAACACGTTATTTCCGCGGATAAATGCATCCCCATACTTATTCTTGAGTTGTCCATTTACGTATTCTTCCATCTGCTCCAAGGCTATGTTCATGTAGCCATCCAGGCAAGCCAGGACCCCTCGATAATCCACTCCAGAATTTAATTTTACCACAACGGGTCGTCCAATGATTTGCTTTAAGAAGTCACTGGGGGTTTGCTTCCGCAGACTCATTTTAACAATCCTGATCAGAAAGCTGTGGGCCAGGATCCGGAACCCCCACTGTTGGAGCCCCACAAGCCCGGCTCCTTTTTTTTTTTTTGTCTAATGATTGGTTCATCTCTTCTCCATTCCATTCAAGCCTTTATTTATTTATTTTTTTAGGATTTAAAAAACACATTTTAATTATGGTAAAATCCACATAACAAGATTTACCATCTTCAGTATTTTTAAGTATAGATTTCAGAAGTATTAAGTACTCACATTGTTGTGCAACCAATCTCCAGAACGCTTTTCATCTTGCAAAACTCAAACTCTGTACCCATTAAATGACTCCCCATTTTGCTCTCCCCTAAACCCTGGCAACTACCATTCTACTTTCTGTATCTATGACCTTACTCTAAATACCTCATGTAAATGGACTCATACAGTATTTGTTTTGTTTTTGTTTTCTTGAAAGTTTTTTTGTCATTGTGATTAGCTTATTTCATTCACTCAGCATAATGTCTACAAGGTTTATCCATGTTATAGCGTGTGTCAGGATTTTCTTTTTAAGGCTGCATGATGTCCCATTGTGTATTACATATGTACACTCCAATGTGTTAATCTGTTCATCCATTGGTGAGCACCTTCAATGAGTTGCTTCCACTTGTTGGCTATTGTGAATAATGCTGTTATGAACATAGTTATACAAATATCTTTTTGAGTTCCTGCTCTCAATTCTTTTGGTTTTTACCCAGAAGGGAAATTGTTGGATCATACGGAAATTCTATTTTTTAATTCTATTTTTAATTTTCTGAAGAACTGCTATACTGTTTTGCATAGCAGCTGCATCATTTTACCTTCCCACCAACAGTACACAAGGGTTCTAATTTCTCCATATCCTTGCCAATACTTGTTTTCTGTTTTTTTTGTTTGTTTTTTTAAAATTGCCATCCTAATGGGTGTGAATTGATTCAAGTCTTTTATTTTCCCTCATATTTTGTCTTTCTTACCTTTCTGTGACCAGTGGCAAAGACTCTTAAATATATTTTCTAGAAAAGTTATAGAATCTTCATCCTAAATAATGTTGAAATACTTTTGGGGGGCAGTTGAAGATAATCCTTTTTGATGGTAAATAGATGAATTGGTTTTCTGTTTCTTAGATGTTTAAATTTTAATCTTGCTCTTGGATACCTTGGAAGAAACTTGTGGTTCCACATGTATTGATGATGATGAGTGAATGAAAGAAGGGACAGGATGATGGATTTGAGAACCCAGTGCCTTAAAAAATGCCTGGAACCCACTTGCATTACATACTCTTTCTTTTAGAGATCTCCCATTTTGTTTTTTCATTATTAGGGTCAGTAAAGCCATAAAGTATAATGAAAGGAGCCCTGAAGTGTGACCAGGGGATCATGTTTCTAGTCACATGTCTGTTACTAACTAGTTGTGTGACATTGGCAAGACTTCCTGGGCCCTCCACTGTTTACCTGTTGTTTTTCAAATCCTAGATTCCATTGGCAGTCTGGTGAAGCCTATGGACCACTTCTCAGAATAATGTTTTAAAATGAATAAAATAAAATGTGCAGCATTATAAAGAAAACCAGTTATATTGAAATAGTCATTAAAACATTTTTAAAAATTGTGATACATGTGATGCTTTGTTAGCACATCAGCTATCAAGGCCTAGAGGTGGGCCTAGTATCTACCATGATTTTGAAATGATAATGAGTAGAAATGATTTCTTATTATATCTGCAGCAACTGTAATATGATATGAAAATATATTTGATTTCTTCTGGTGACAAAATCAAAAGGACTGCTAATACTGTGGATATACATGGAAGAAGTGATACATTTCCGTTTGTGGTTAGTGAAAACCTGAAAGCAATCCAAGTTCATAGACCCAGTAAATTCTGTTCATAGATCTTCAGAAGTCCATGGGCTCTGGTTAGGAACAGCTGGATCAAAAGTTTGCTGACGTCCCTGGCAGCTCACACATTGTAGTGGAATAGAGGAAGGCTGACTCAGGCGGCCTCTCGAGTTTATCAGAACACTGACTTTGGGCCTGGCATAATTAAGCAGATCTTATGCCACAAAAATAACTTTTGATCCACCTGGGAATCAAGCTGGGAAGTAAGCAGTGAGAAATGTGCTGGGTTTTATGAGTCACTTTTATAGCCTATAACCAGGAAAGCCCAGGAGTATATAAAAACAAACAACAACATGAAGAGTATTGATCATCAGTCACCCTGATCATTTGCCTTTCGAGGGACCTAAAGGCCAGGGCTTGTGGGAATGTGGCTGTGTCCCCTGCTCTTCATGTAGGAAGTTGTGTCCTTTACTTACATTAGCGGAGACCTATGTCTCAGCATCTTGCCATCAGAACATCACCATTGCTTTGTCCCAACAGCATGCATTCCTCTAACTAACTAGTGCCATGAATGTACAAAAATCATGTGCTGCACCCACCTGCTTACCAGGCTTGAACTGTACTGCCCAGATGGAAAGGAAGATCTTTGAAATACAAACAAGTTAAGGAATAATGGTGATAAAGCACTTCTCGTTTACTAGTCTTAAAAGTTGTTTTCTTTCCTAGAGTTTATAAGTATGTTAATGATGAAGGTCTAAGTATGTTCTGAATGAGATGAATGGCAAGCAAAATTGATCCTAATACTTTCAGAAAATGGAAGCCATTCCTTCTCATTACCTACCCACCACCTTCAACTTAACATTTTTCGAGAGAATATATTTTTTCGGAAGAGAGAGAACTATGAATGCTTTTAAATGTCACACCACTTGCCTATTACAGCCTCTTCTCATAATATTAGTTTCTAGTGGACAGGGGGATTCTTTTTGTCTTTGTAGTTGCGTTATAAATGCCTCCATGTTAAGCAAGATCCAAACTCTTAGCCTAATAGACCTGGGATTGGAGTGAAGTGTTGAGATTTAATTTGTCCATCTGCTTGTGAAAGGTAATTCATGCAACCATAAGAATGCTTTGCAAACATGGAATCATTTTCAGGTTAAAAGATCCTCTACCAAATTAGATAGGAAGCTTGAAGCATAGGCTGTAAGCAGTTTTTCCTCCTTCAATTGCTGCTATGGATCAATATATTTTATTGACTTTTCAAGGGTTTGCATGCAATTTTCTATCATGGTCGTTTATGCTAATCTGCATGAAACAGAATAATTGTAAATCATAGCCCCTTAGGCACATTTTTCCCTCCTGTAATACTTGAGACCACAGAATTCTGTTCAAAAGAGATGAAAAAAACAATCCATCATTTTTTAGTAACTCGTGGAGCTGATATAGATGTGGATGGCAAGGACTCCTTCCTTCTTTATCTTTGGGCTTTACCTTATATTTTAATTGTAAATGCAAATAAATGAAAATGAAACTCAATGAAAAGAAATCAGGTTTAAATTAGGCAGTTACCTTTATTTGTGAACATCCAAATATATCATGTTAAATATGGAGGGTAGACTAACTGTAATATATCTTATTTTAATGTTTTACATAAGATTACTAAAATTTCTCTTCATTGGGAAGGCGTGTTTATGTAATTATTGTAAATTGGCGGAGTTATTACTCTTAAGATGTATAAGAATGTTTATTTTTTACATATTTAATAATACAATTCAGATAATTAGTAGAGAAGATAACAGTTTTTCATTTTAATGTTGTACTAAGATAGATGGTTTGACTACTGTTTACATTTATTTGTAGTACAGAACTCATTGAAATATATAGTTATTACAAAAACAAAGTAAAATATATCTGTCTTGACCAGTAGCTCATACATATGTGCTTTATTCTCATCAGAGTTCCAACTATGCTGTGGAAGCAAAGCCAACTCTAGCTGTATTCCATATCCCTGTACACGCACACAGATGAATGTCAGTGTGTTATGCACATATGGGTCTGGAGGGGCTAATGGGACCTCATGGTACAACTCCAAAAGAAACCCCATGTAGTGACGGGCTCTTAGACATGGTGCCTGGATGTAGATACAGAGGGTGCCAAAAAAATGTAGACACATTTTAAGACAGGAAAAAAAAACCTGTATTAATTGTAATACTCAATATATACTGATATCAAAAGGTGAATACAAGTCACGTTTGACTTTTGCAATTACAAGAGGTGCTCAAAGTGGCTACCATCAGTGTCCAGTCACTTCCAATTATGGCCAACTGCTTGAGCATAGATAACATCTCTTTAAATGTGTATACACTTTTTGGGCACCCCCAGGAGTTGTCCCTACCCATGGGACTGCGTGAAAAATGGACGGGCTTCTTTCTAGTTTTCTTTAGATTATTCCAAATTAAAGACTTTACCTATCAGAATGAAAAGTAGAAGCTTTACCTTCCCTAAGAATGATAAGCCTTGTCCCCATGAGAGTTTTCAGTCCCAAAAAGGTTTGTGGATTGTCAGTGAATAGAAAGTTGGATGAGGAAGGAGTTGTTTTGCTCTTAGTGTGTTTTAAGCAATTTAGGTATGAAACATCCTTACTTCCTGGAAGCCACCCCTTAGGGTAGGATCTGTTGCTATGGCCACCTCTGAGTTTAAGAAAATATACCTAAAACAGGGGAGATTTCACTTGGGAGATGTGGAGCTGGGTGCATTGCGCTTCCATCCTCTGCATCTGTTTGTTCATGAATTCAGTAAATATTAGTTGAGCCCCTTTCTTTTGTTAGGCATTGTGCTAGGGAGGCAGTGGCAAAAGAGACAGATAGTTCCTGCCCTTATGAAAGCTTGCAGTTCCATGGGGAATGTGGTGTGGGTGGGTATGGGGGCAGGAAGACAGAAAGGATTAACCAGAATTTACAACATTGTGTGTGATTATACATCTGTGCGTATCTCCTCTGCGCTATGTCATGATGTGGGGGGAATAAATAGGGTTTTGCAAGTATCCCAGGGACATGTAACAGAAAGTGGGCTGTCAGAGAAATAAACCAGGTTGGAGTCTGTGTAAGGTGGAAGAGAATTGTTCTAGGCAGAAACAAATACCTGTATGAAGAGCCCTTGAAGTGAATGTTGAGGAGAAATTTGATTAGAGTGATAAATAGAGCCCTGGAATTTACTCTGCTGGCAGCAGGAAC